ACACAGCCCCACGGGACCCACGAGGCTCCCCCAGAGACAGGATGGGACCAGGGGAGCATCCCAGCACTCCCAAGGTTGGAGCATCTCATCTGCACCCCTACTCAAGGGCTACCTGGCTCCTGCACTCCCAAGGTTGGAGCGTCTCATCTGCACCCCTAGCCAAGGGCTAACCTGGCTCCTGAACCCCTTTCCCAAGGCTCCCCAGCCTGCAGACCTCCCCAGCCTGCTTCACACCTTCAGACAACGCTCTAGACAAAACTTTTACCTCTTTCCAGCCTATCTGGACAAAATAAAACGGCCTCTTACTCCCCAAAGCAGCTTATTCGACCACATCCCCACAGAGAGAGGCCCTCACCCCAGCAGCAGGAGCACTTAATCTCCACTGCTGCCCAGCAATCGGGGTCCAGCGTCAGCACAGCCCCGGGGCAGGGCAGAGCAACCAGATTATTCAGCAGCAAAGGGCCAGCCCAGCTTTGAGAGGCCACTTGCACAAGGTGACAGTGACAGCAGTGACGCCCAATTGTTGTCAAGAGCTGCCAGGTAGAAACCGGCAGCGATAAGATCTTAACATCTCTTGAACCAGAAACAGAGCCAAGACCTAAAATGATTTAAGTTAACCTTAAATAGCCAGGAGAAAACACTGCAATTCCTCCCTCTGGACAGCTGGCTCTGGGCTGGCAGCACCCTGCACCCCAGGGTCATCATCACTGTCTCAAAAAGATGGGGTCTAAAGCTGCCACCTCCATTTCAAGCCCTTTTTGGTGCTCCATCCTTCTTCCTGCTTCTTTTGGATGCTCCCCACAGGGGGAATGTGTCCCTGGAACTGGCCTGAGCACACCCCACTTAGAAGGAAAACAGTTTCCACAGCACCAGGGCAATTCTGGCCCTCCTGGCTAAGAAAAAACCCATCAGTGTTGGCCAGGACTTCACAGCTTGACACAAGAGGAGGTCCAGCCTTGCACCAGGGCTTGGAGAAAGCCTGACAAGCAGCTCTGATCTTATCACTTCTGGGCTACTTCACTACTTGGAAGCTGCAGCTGCTTCTGCTGAGGCCAACCAGGACAGTCCTGGCCCAGATGTTTTTGGAGGGGGTGAAGTGATGCCTCCTCATCTCCCATGCTACAGGTTTTGTGTCCTCAACCCTTCCAGATGATCCTAGAGGGCTCAGTCTAGTGTCAGCACCAGGAGGGATGTGCCTGGGGAAGTTCTGGTACACCCAAGCCAGGCAACCAGGCCAACAGGGAGCCCCAAGGTGCCAGAAAATTGGGTGTACAGCTCTTACCTTACGGAGGATGAACCTCTGGACAAGGAAGAAGAGGATAGCAGACATGATGCCCGAAAGGAGGGGTGAGATGAACCAGGACAACACTAGGAGACAAGAGGAGTGGTCAGCACCCAGTCGCTGGAAGGGGAAGCCCAGAGGGCACGTGGAGGCCACGCAGAGGGCTGGTGCCACAAGCCACACTCACCAATCTTTAGCAGCTCAGACCACTTGACACCTTTTTGCCCCGTGGCCACCAGCGAAAAGCCAATGGTGGCTCCAACAATGCAGTGGGTCCCAGAAATGGGGAGCTTCAGGAACGAAGCCATCAGCTGCCACACAGCAGAGCCTGGAGGAGGGAGAAGCACGGGAAGAAAGGCATCACAAGAGGGCACCTGGGGGGGGATACCCCCCGGGGGGCCCGTTTCTCACCGAACATGGCGCTGATGGAACCGGCCATCAGGAGCTGCCGGGTGGAGTTGTACATCTCCACATCGATCAGCCCCTTCCGGATGGTCTCGCTGACTTTGGCTCCCAGCAGGACGGAGCCCACGGTCTCAAAGACGCTGGCCAAGATGCAGGCTTGCCGGAGGGTCACCACCCCCGAGCCCACCGCCGTCCCAAAGGAGTTGGCCACGTCGTTGGCGCCGACGGAGAAGGCCAGGACGAAGGCGATGATGAAGCCC